TCATTGTTAAAGCACATTAGCTGAGTTACCAGCAGAACATCTCAGGACCTCTAATCTAGAATTTTCTGTAGCAGGTGTTGCCTTTTTTGTTGTGCTCAAGAGTACTGGGATGTTATAAACAGGTCCTGTATCTGGCTGTGTAACTAACTTGGGTGAGAGGCCACAGGGTTTTGCTTCCATCGTACAGGCTTGAGGAGCTACTAAGAGTGAAGAAATGAATTGTTGTAAGTCTGTTCTATGTGTTCATGTGTTTTGTGCTGTCCCTGCATTGATGGGAGCTGATGATACCTTTGAAAAGTACTTAGTAGAGTCTGGATACTGGCAAAATGAAACTAGAAACGATTCAGAGTGGAGATTGTATGAACAGAGATGAAAGAATGACTCATGAAGGGTCAAGACTCAGCACTGCCCATGTGTGGGCCCACCTATAATGCCCCCAGTTGCAACGTTATGACTTACCAACTGTAGCCTTGAGCAGACAGGGGAACTTCACTTATTGCCTTTGGGGTGCCCTTCAGAAGTGACATGGGACTTTGTCTCATCCCCACAGTTAGAAAAGCATGCCATGTTGGAGGTGGTTTGTATCTGACACAAGAAACAATTATTTCTTTTCAACTATGACGCATACTACAGATTTCCAAGTTTACGTTTGTTTGGAAATGAGAGCTGTTTGCTGTGCACTTCCAGTTTTGGAAATTCTGTGACTAGTCTGTTCCAGGTATTACAGTGGTAATTGGGATTTTGCAATGCAGAAACTGTAGGAGGCCATCCCATGTGTTTGTTTCTGTATGTTGGAGATCACTGTGTGGAGAGGGCTGTCAGAAGGGCAACAGTTCAGAGCTCAGAATTAGTCAGAAAAAAAATTAAGTACTTGTGTGTGTTAGGGGAGTCCGTTTTTAATTATTTTCTTTCAGCTCTGATTTTGCAACTCAGTCATATGTGTCTGAGTTAAATAGCATGCTGGGTGTGAACAAATGCTGAATTGGTCTATTTGGTGTGCTTATCTCTTCTGGCCCTAGAATGGTCTAATTCAACTTGAAATGCTTTGAACAATGTTATGATTTAATGCTTTTCTGCATTGGCCTTGGATGTTATTTAATGTCTACACCCATACAAGAAGTGACCTCAAAACTGCAGTATCTCACAAACAGGGTTTGTCACAATACTGAGGCATGTCTGCCCTAGGACTAACACGATGTAATTGTTGCACTGTAAATTAGAGCTCCCATAGTCAGCTTTGGGCATGGCATGTGCAAGTTCTTTGGCTCCTCAGTTTAGTTATACAATTCTCCATCTGGTTCTCCTGTAACTCATTTCATCATGAGGTTAGCACTATCTGCATCTCAAAGGGACTTTATTGAATCTTTCATCACTCTCAGCCAAAGCATCATCACAGATAGCGTTGACTCATCTATAGAACTTGGAAAAAGTTGTTCTACCTTCCATCAAATCTTTCCTTCTGTGAGAAGATCTTGAAGACTAACATGGGGAGTTGTTTGTTCTCCTTCTGGAGTCTCCTAGACAGTTTCAGTGATTAGCTTGGAAAACTGAGGTGTTTAGAGCTAGTTTGGTATAGTCATTAAGATGTTCATTCTATCATTTGTTTTATCTGTCAGGATAAACTTGGACTTTATGGTCTTTGAGTGTGACGATAAGCAATCAAGTCAGGACTTTGGGTTGGAAAGTACAGTATGTGTTTTAAATTCACACAAGATAGGCAATATTTTGAAAAGCTAATAGTGATTTATTTGTGCTTAATCCTACTAAGCTGTAATTAGGCTAAAATTTCCATTAGTTTCTAGGAGCAAAATGACTCTGTCATGGAGCATTACTGGATCTGTCTCTAAGCTTGAATTCCAGTGAGTTTTCAGTGGATACATTTTGGTATGTGACAACTAAATATTAAACACTCCATCTTTGTCATGTGTATGTTTTATCAGCTGTGTGCTTGATGACTTTTCAGATAGGTTGCTTAGGGAACTCTTACATACACAAGCCACTCCTCAGTATAAATCTGTTCAAACTAAATACAGGAAACAAATATTAGGTGTACATGTTTTACTGATTTCTGTATTCTATCAATACCTTATGCAATGTGATCTTTACCCAGAAAAGTAAAGTCACTAAGGATGATAACAATCTCAGAGTACTTGATTATATATATTCTTTGGTGTGATAGATGAACGGCAGAGAAAGCATAACCTCTTTCTAATCAGTTCCAGTTACAAAAAAAGACTTAAGCCCATCAAAATGAACTACATTTTAATATAGCATTTATAAGTATGTGCATATGTGTTGGAAAACCGTATCCCCTCATTCTGATATGAAAGGATCATTTCTCTTCCCTCATAACATACATGCACCGTCCTGTACTTTGCTGGTTTAGCTTCCCTGTCTCTAGCTCCTCATTGTGGGTCTCGGCACGTTCCGTTTCCTTAGCTGGCAGCCGCAAGCTGTGACAAACATTTTCATTAATGATCTGGATGATGGGTCAGTGTGTCCCCTCAGCAAGGCTGCATGTGACACGCAACTAGGAGTGGCTGATATCCCAGAGGGTCATGCTGCCATCCAGGGGGACCTCAACAGTCTGGAGAAAAGTTCTGGCAGGAATCTCATGCAGTTCAAGTGCATGACCATATGCTGGGGCCCACCCAACTGGGAAAGCAGTTTTGTGGAAGAGGCCCTGAGGGTCCTGGTGAACCCCAAGTTGAACATGAGCCAGCAGCGTGCCCTTGCAGCAAAGGTGGTAAGTAGTGTCCTGGGCTGTGTTAGGAGGGCTCTTTGCTGGCAGGCCAAGAAAGAGATCCTTCCCCTCTGCTCCCCACTGGTAATGCCACACCTGCAGTGCTGGGTCCAGTTCAGGGCTCCCCAGTACAGGAGACATGGACATACATTCAAACATCAGGAAACACTTTTTTTAATGTCAAGGATGGCTGAGCACTGGCACAGTTTGCACAGGGAGGCTGTGGAGCCTCCCTCCTTGGAGATATTAAAAATCTGTCTGGACATGGTCCTGGCAACCAGCTCTAGGTGGCCCTGCTTCAGCAGGGGGTTGGACCAGATATATTCCAGAGGTCCCTGCTTACCTCAACTGTTCTGTGGTTCTGCAAAGCTGGAGTGGGAGGTGCTGGCCAGAGAACAGCTGTTTGTTTGATTTCTGGCTCTCCTTCCTTACCTTTCTTCTTCCTGCTTCCCTCATCCTGGTAAAACATAATTTTTGACTGCCTGGACATTTTAGTAAGAAAATTATATTGTTTCCACATGAAAAGTTTTTGTGTGGTTATTGATATGATTTTAGTATCGCTACGGGCAATTTTTTATAGTTATGAGAGTTTTGAAACAACTTGATGGGAACTTAAAGATTTATTTAGTAAAAGGGGCCCAGTTCTCTTTCCTAAGCCCATTGTAATGTATCACTTTTCCTTCTCATCTCCTTTTTAGCATAAGTGAAAGGATTACAGATTCCTCGGCCAGGATATCTGATTAAAAGACATATTTAAATACATTTGAAAGAATTTAAGCTTTCATCATAAATGAGAGCTGATGTATTTTATAGAAGATAAGGAACACAATGACATCCTGTCATCATTTGGGCTTGATCTTAGATTTATCTCTGCCATCTCTCTATATAAGATAAACGTTTCTGTCATGATCTGATCTATGTTTTGAGTTATGGGCTTTGAACTGATTATTAGAAAAGTTCACATGGCTTGAGCCCCTTTAGAGTGTCATCTGTATAATCTTTGACTGCCTGGAAGACTTTTGTAGCCCTACTTGATTATCTATGTTCTTTGACCTGCACAGAGAATTAGAAAATCCAGGATTGGAATTAGAAATACATGGTTAGAAAATACCTGATTGTGAAAGCTAAAGATCAGTGGTAGGGACACAGCTGCATTCACCTAGCAGGCAGGTAGAGTGAACACAGAAGATGTGGATTTAGCCCTGGGAGTGCACATGGATCCTGTGTTGACTGGCAATAGTAGTGGGACAAAGAGAAAATAATCACAGAATGGTTTGGGCTGGAATATCTAGTTCCAACCCCCCCGCCATGGGCAGGGACACCTTCCACTAGCCCAGGTTGCCCAAAGCCCCGTCCAACCTGGCCTTGAACCCTTCCAGGAAGGGGCAGCCACAGCTTCTCTGGGCAACCTGTGCTGCCAGTGTCTTACCACCCTCACAGTAAAGAATTTCTTCCTCACGTCTAATAACAATCTACCCTTTTTCAGTTTAAAACCACATGCTATCACTGGCTTCCCTTTCCTGTAGCCCCTTTCAGCCCTGGGAGGCTGCTCTAAGGTCTCCCTGGAGCCTTCTCTTATCCAGCTGAACCCCCCCAACTCTCAGCCTGTCCTCACAGGGGGTGCTCCAGTCCCCCGAGCATCTTTGTGGCCTTCTGTGGATCCACTTGAGCAAGTCTAGGTCCTTCTGATGTTGGGGACTCTCAGAGCTGGACCCAGCACTACAGGGCGGTCTTACAAGAGAAAGAAAATCAAAAAAGGCTCACTGAAGAGTCAGAGTAGGGAAGAGGAACATTGTAGATACAGAACAGAGGAGGTTAATAGCAAGAGCTGGAGTCTGGTAGATGAGAAGTCTTCAGAGTTGGGGACAGCTTCTGGGCCTGCTACCTCGTTGTTCTCCTGTGACCTATCACATCTGTCCTGGTAGTTTAAGCAAGAAGGGATTTCTTCTTGTGCCATCTTGCATAACTCAAGATTAAGGCAAATAGCTTCAAGAATAAGAGAAAGATACCTTCTAGACACCTGTCTGCTGCTGCTTTGAGCTTTACCCATACCTTCAGAGCTGTTTCTGAGCCTTTAAGGGTTGATATAGCTTTTTTTTTTTTTCCCCTGTGGTCGCTGGTTGTGTGCAGCACATGGACATTGTCACCTAAACTCATGCTTTGGGTAGGTCCTGGAGTTGCTCATAATAAGAATGGGCAAAGAAAGAGAGATTGATTCCTTGTAATGGTTTTCTTCAAGATGTATGTGTGGGGTACATATTCATGTTTTGCTGATCTTCTCGTTCTGAGAGTCCTGGATATGTGTTCCTACTTTTGGGCTCTATATGCACTGTGTCCTTGGCAGCAGGAGAGGAAGGGCTGAGGACTCTATTCCTATGGATACAGCTGGGGAAAAAAATGTTTTTGAAGTTATGAGGCACAGATACATTCAGGGTTCAAATATACATGTGTATTACACACCTTGGAGATACTGGTTACTGGTAAAATGACTAAAAGCCCCGGAGGTGGATGGTACTGATGCTCATCTGGGGATGATTAAAAAATTGCCTTATTGTTTTGGATCTGTCTTTTCAGGTAGAATAACCTATATAAATTCTTGTTCTGATTTTTGCTGAATGTACAAAAAGGGAGTGAACCCTGAAACCTGCATTTTCAGCATGATATTTTGGCTGTGCTGGAAGCCGGTGCTGTTCTGTCCTTGTAGACAAACCCTAGCTTTGGTCCCTCACTGGATTAACCAGTCCTGTTTTAATGTGGCTATTTGCATGCCATTGGCGCAGGTTTTGCAGTGCCAGTTAGACTATGCTGCAGTCTGTGGTTAATGTGACCCTTCAAAGGAAAAAACTCCAAACCCCAAAACCAACAAGAACCCAGAATACTTCTTAAAACTCAGGTCAGTTTTGGTAAAAACACCCGTTCAGTGTTAGTCTCCCTTGCCTGTTCCCTAATAAAAAAAATCCTATTCATGATAGCATTAATCCCATGAAAAAAAAAAAATTGTCCATTTAATTTTAAGAGGGGCAAATCCAAGCTGACAGCTTCAAAGCTCTCTACTTTGATTACTATACACATGGGGCAGTTTGAAACACATGCTTGAGAAGCTAAGGAAAGAAAGAAGCCTTATTGTGTTCCCAGTTTGGCTTAGCATTTTGGGTTTAACATTAGACATTGGCAGATGGTCTGAAAAATTCGGCATTTGCACAAAGCACAGTAGTTACAACATGAATTCAAGTGTGGTTTGCAGGTTTTGAAGTTTGGCACACAGTCAGCAGCTGGTGTGGGCCTTGGTTTTGGAGGTGGCTTCAGCTGCGCATTTTTCTAGAGGAAAAAACATAAAAAATAATATAAGAATAAAATTAGTATGGGTCAGAATAAAGCATAGGTGCAAAGAGAGTGAACTGTGGAATCTTCTGGCTTGAGATTAGTAGGTGGTTGCTAGCAGTGAGACCTGTATTAGTACCAGTATAGAGATGTGGTAGGACTGGATCAGGGGAAATGCTGGATTGGGACCAATTTACTGAGCAGAATGGTAAACCTCATGATCCTCATAGTTTGAGCAATTAGAAATGTGACTGGATTGAGAAATGGAAAATGCTCTGTAGCTAAGAATGTGGTAGAAGTGAAGAAAAGGATGCAAGTATCTTCAAGGACAACCATTATCAGTAAAACAAAGTAAGGAATTACTCTTGGCTGTCCACACCTTTCAAATGAACAAGTGAAACCTCCCTGTCAATCTGTGGGGCTAGTACCTGCTCAGTCTCCTGAGCTGCAAGGCTGAGAGAGAGGGGACGTGACTTGGCAATCATCTACCTCACATGGTTTGTTTGTCAAGCTGCCTTTGGAGCTCGGTAATCCTTTGTGCATCACATTTGAGCGTGGGAATCCTTAACTGCAGACACAGGTGAGCTGAAGATCTCAGCCTACCCAAGGAGTGCTGCTTCTCTGGCTGTGACTTGGAAAGGTAGAAAACTTGGGGTTGATCAGCGTTTGCCTGGGACCTGGGAGAGATCTATGGACCCTTCCAGCCACAGGCACCTTATGCACTTTTTTAACTTGGTAATTTCTCAGGAGTTTCAGTTTTAAGGTAAAATGTTCTGTAGTCTCTGAGTGCCTTAGGAGCTTTTAAGCCAAAACACTTTGACAAAGTCTGATTGCAAGAATGTCCTGCTTTGAGCTGAAGGTGGCCTCAGGACATCATTTAGTTCCCCTTTCAACTTGGGTCATCCTGCGAATTTAGGAAGTATTTCAAGGAAGGTTAACCACATAAGACAACAATTAAAAAGGGAAAGAAGGAGCTCTAAATGTTTCTGGTTGCAGCAGTGTCTGGATTTGCTATAAATGGCTATCACAACACACTACAAATAAAGTAAAAATATTTTCTACTCTTCTAGGCAATCTTTAAAATACAGGAATCCAGCCTGTGTAATACTTCACATTTAAGATCTATGAGTAACATCATATTAAGGAAATCTATCAGTCTGAATCTACTGATCTCATAAAATTACCTGTTAACATTTTCAAACAAATACCAACTTCATTGTATGCCTTTAATTTTTTGGCACCTGCAGTTAAAAATCAGTAGATAGTGTGTTTGTGCCCAGGGCTGCAGAGCCTGTACAGTTAACCCACACACTGTGACTGGGAATGATGCCTAAATAATTGTAAAAGTACTTAAACCAGCTCGTGGTTAAGGTACCTCTTGTGTAAGAGAGGACTGTAAAAACCAAAGCAAAATCAAAACCAACAAGACCCCCAAACCCAAACAATAACTTCTAGCTAATCTAAGATCACATAGTTTTCACTGTTAATGTTTTTTGTTTTGTTTTTTTTTTTTTTTTTTTACAATATTTAGAGCTTCAAACTGTATGTAAATTATTTAAATCAGGGAATGACTGTAAAAGCTTTGCAAATGAATACAATGAGGAAAACTCTAGAAGTACTGTACTGAACAGTTCTAATTCAACAATGTTTTGTGAACAGCCACCTACCTTAGAAGCTTTCCTGTTCTCTGCCTCTTTCCTGCTGACTTTCTGGGATCTTTTAGTTAAATCTTCAAAGAGAATAGCACAGTAATATTAAATCAATTTTACAGCACATGCTATTTTAACTGAGCTGCTTAATACTATTTTTGTGCAAGAAAGGCAGATAATGTGCGATGCCACCTCATTGCTGCATGTTTTACAGGGAAGACATTTGTCTCTGGAAGCCATCCTCGCTTACACATAATGTGTCAGAACTTACGCTGTCACTGTTGCTTGTGTGAAAGCAAAAGAACACTGATGTTTGTATTTTAGGAGGGCTTTTTTACACATTGTTTGATCAGATGTGAACAAGGAAAATAATTTCAGAGAAATAAAATTAAAGGTGTCTGTGTAAAAGATAGGGGTACTTATGCACATTAGTCACATGAACAAAAATAGGAAAAACCTTTAGAATGCCCTGTCTTTTTCTGTCAGAAGGTAGTGTTACCTGCATAATTTTGGTAGGAATTGACAAGTGCATGCTGGTTTCTGAAGCAAAATTCTCTTGCTGATTTGGCATAAACTCTTCATCTGTATGATGCCACCTTTAATTCTTCAGATCTTTGTTCCTTTTTCACCTACGATCTTATTTTACAAAATGTTACTTGCAAAGGTGTTTCTCTGATGTGCCTGAAGTTTTGAAAGATTTTTGAATATTTATAGAGTTAAATCTTGGATCTGGTAAATTTAGGGCATAGTGTTCAGACGATGCCTGACGCAACTTTTTTTTTGATCAAATCACTAGTATTTATGAACTGCCTCATATTATGCTTTGAGGGATAATAGCATTTACTGCAGTTATTATCATATCAGCTCTAATTCTATTTACTACTATATATAAACTCCATGACTAAGACTTGTCTTGGGATGTAACACAGCAAGACTGTTAAAGTGTGAGACACTTCCCAGCTCACCAATCTGTTACGTTTTTTTGATACCTTTATTCTCTGTGTGAGGTTTATAATAAGCACTACTTGTATGTAATGAATGATCAGGATAAAAAATTTACACACTGAATGGTGATACATAGTGAATGGTGATGAAGGGTGGCTCCTTGTCTGTTCCAGTATTTGTTATCCATATATTTTTTGGTATTTAATACTTGCCAGGATTTGCAGAATTACAGAATGAAGAATACACATTTTGGGCTGTTTTGGGAGGGGTTTCAGTTGTTATCCTTGCATCATTATAGTTAGCGTTATACGTCTTTAAGAAACAGTGGGAGAAAAAAAATCTTGCTTCAAGCATGTAAAGTTATTGTCACTTAATAAGAGCACATCTTAAAAAAGGCATTGTGCTAACTAGGATTAGTGGTTTAGATCCAGTTCCAGCTGGCAGATTATGCTGGTTTTGTTATGCTGTCATTTGAAACTTTCTGACAGTAACCAGGATACTTCTCTACATTAATTTAACTTTCTATAGTACAATTGTACAGGATTGTTTGGATTGCTTTACCCACAAAGTTGTTTCAATAACATTGAGTTACAGTGTATATGATGCATATTAAGCAGAGACTTAAACATTGGCATGATGTAAATGTGCTTTAATTATTCCAGAGAGTTTGGTAAAGAAGAAAATGATTCCCAGTGTACAAATGAGGGAAATGTATAGATGCTTTTTTTTGACAGGTGAGTGGTGTAATTGTCTCTTCTATACTTTCTCTGGGTTGAGTAAAACACTTGCTTTTCCTGACTGGCTTCTAATCTCATATTCCTCATGCTCTATGTGCCATGTTTCCAACAGCTGCCCAACTGACGAGCTCCTCACAAATCTCATCTGTGATGATATGGGAAAATGTAATACAGGCTTGTGAAAATATTGATAACACACACCTCTCACCCCTGTTGATACAACTGTGATTTGAAGTGCTATAAAAAACATGTAGTAATTAGATGATTGCATGTTTTACTAGTTGATGCTAGCAAATCCTCTGCTTACCTTTCAAGGTGTAATTCAAATCCAGACTCAGGTTTTATTGAATTTGAGCCAGACATATCATCTGTGATACTATATGTACTACAATTGATGTGTAAATGGGTGTGTAAACAGCTGATTGAAAATGAGTTTTATTACTCAAGTATGACTATAGCAACATTTAAAAACTGAGCTGTAACATGAATGCCTTCATCTCTGTTCTGTGTGGCCAACCAGAAGGAACCAGACTTGGTAGAAGAAAATTTCACTGAGATGGAAAGCTCTATCCAAAACATTTAAACCAAGCTGACAAGAAATATTTCTGCTAGCTTATACAAAAATACATTATGCATATCAGCATGGCAAGTTATAACTGATAAATCATAAAGAAATTGACAGTATCAGGAGGGGAGAGGAGGCTGTGGTTATCTAAACACTCTTAATATTTGCTCTAAATTAACTGTTTCTGTGGCAGTGATGGGAAAGACCAGCCTGTCAGCCTTTTGCCATGACACTGTTGTCATAATAAATATTACTGTGTGCGACTTCATTCTCCCCCCTCCCCTTCCCGAGCATTGCAGGGGTTTTGCTGGGGCTTCAGGCAGAGGAAGCAGGTGGAGAAGTCACCTCTGCACCTGCCCCTCCTGCTCCTGTCTGCCTGCTTTTTCCAGCAGCTTTCCCCTGTTTGCATTAGTTTCTCCCATTTTGACCTGTTTCCATCCTCTGCAGGATTGTTTCCAAGGCAGTTTCTCAGCCTCTAGCAACTCTTCCCACTCATTTCAGCCCCCAGTTCTGTGAAGGGCACGGCTCCATTACTTCATCCAACGGCTGCACAATGCACAGACCCTGGCAAAAATCAGTGGAAGAGGATGGGCCTCCAGTTGTGTCTCACAATATGCTGGAGTGAGTCAGGTGATGTGCCTGTGAAGATGGTGAGATCTGCTGTCATCCTGCCCCTCCCAGCGGACCCTGTATCAGCAGGGTTGGAAGGTCCCTTGGTCTGGTCACCTGGACCCCAAAACAATGTCAGTGTCTGTCCATTCTCCTGCACCTTCTTTCTCCACCCATTTGAAAGGTCATGGGTAGGGACTTTCAAATGCTCTTCATAAGCCATGCACTAGTGCAAGCTTTTAATTAATTTATATTTAGTTTATCAAGTTATAACTCAATTATGTTAGTTAATAAGGGATAGAGATAATGTGGCTACTGGTTGTCTGGAATAAAACTCAGAAAGTTTTGATCATATACCATTTCAGCTCTAATATAAACTATTTCAAAACATAGGTCAGATTCCTTTGAATGAGAAAAAGAGGAATGATATGTCTCACTTTCATTACTCACTTTGTACTTTTCCAGTTTTCTTTAGGTGTGGGGTAGTGGAGGATCAGACTGACCTCTTGCCTTTGAACAACTGGGCTGTAGAAAGTCTTTGGGATATTTCTGGAAATGCAGCCCTGGACAATGGTGTTATAGTGGGTTTTGCATCTGTATTTTCCTTTTCAGAATAGTCAACCAAGACAAGTGGACTACAGAAGTGTTATACCAGGATCCGCTCCTTTGAATTACTCTTGCATTTTCAGTGTCAAACGTTCATTCTGGTTCATTCTGGTTGCATGTAGGAAAAGAATGAGGGTAAAGCAGGGCAGCTGGGCTTCACCACGGAGTGCTGAGGACACAAGGATGCTCTGCTGCTGCGGGCGGACGTGTCTCTGGCATTGCCCTAACAAGGTTCTTCCCTAACAGGACAGATGGTCACCTGTCAGTAACAGCAGGGACATAGCTGGTCCTGTCTTGGATAAAGAGATGACCTCTGGCTCTCCCTTCCAGTGCTCTTTTATTTCCTGGTTAAAGATCACTTGGCATACAGCTAAACTGAGGTTATATTAATACCTTAGAGAACTGTTTTCTCTGCCACAAGAGCAGATCCTAAAAAAGAGAGTTATGTTCGCTTCTTCCATTTGCACTAGACTTTCAGAGAAAGATCGATGCCCACTTTAACAGAAAAACACTTCTTTTCAGTATAAAAAGATTTACAGTATGATAGGACCTGAAGTGAAATCTGTAAAATTAAAATAAGTTGCCTGATTTTTTTTATTTTTTTTTTTTTTTTAACTCCAAACTGTGGTTTGCAACACTGCCATTCTTGGGTTCTGTGGCTGCATTGCCACTGCAGTTCTGCATACTACTAAGGCCTTTGTATGAACTGCAACATTGCAGTAAGCTGTCAAAATAATCTCTATTAATTGACAATTGTATTTTCTGCAAATCTTGTTAATTTGGCACCAAATGGGAAATTTTACTAACCTACTATGGAGATGGGTGGGAGATCTGAGAGATTCATTTTGTTGCTCCTTGACAGGTTGCATTCTGTCTTCTCCTCAATTACCATATGAGAATCGGCAGCTCTGAGCAAACTGTAGCAGAGCAATAGGCTTAGGAAGAGGTTCTTACTTTCCATCCTGGGGAGGAAAAATTCCATTGTCATGAAAACTGAAGTCGGTCAAAACCTGCATGTAGGAGAGACACAAGGATATGAATCTCAGCAATGGTTTTCTGTCATGTTGTGCAGCTTTAGCAATGTGCCTTTGACAATTGTCTCCAGCACTTTGTCTCTGATACCAGAAATACTTCAGATTGCAGTTGTCTGAGTGGAAAAATGCTGTCCCAAATAAAACTCTTTAGATGATACTTAAATTTTTTTTTCCTCCCTTTTCTCAAAAGATTTATTTTCCCAAAAGCTGTGAGTTCTCCCCACTGAGTTTTATGGTGGTTATTGTTTGACCGAGGGGAGAACTTCTGATGTCACTTTTGACCAGCTCAATCACATCATCAGATTTTTCCCAGAAAATCTTGCTTACAGATTTGTTCTAGAAAAACCAAGAAAAACAATGGTAATTAAAAAAAAAATAATTAAGTTTCCTGTTAGTTTTCTTAATTTGAAAATAAGTCCTGAAGAAAGATCTTGTTTTATTATAACCTAATGTGACTGCCCTGATCCCACAGTGAATCACAGCCTTAACTCATACAAGTTATAAAAGGCCCGGTGCTGAAAAGCATTTATGGGCCTTAGGGTTTAGTGTGAGTTAATAACTTCTAAGATGTAACAAAGTTTATGGAATTTGAGCATACTTATAGAGAAACCTGAGCTTTGCAGAATGTGGCCGTACACCTTGGAAGGAAGCCACTGGCCCCACCAACCTCTGCGTGACACAGTGCAGCTGTGTGGGGTACACAGAGCATATCACCACCCTCCTCTCCTTTTCTTGTAGATTCTTAACACTGTTGCAGTTTGCAGTTATTTTTATTTCCATATGTGTTAGTTTTAGGCTGTGTCAGAGTTCTAGGAACCTTCCCCCAGAGGCACTTCCAGCCTCAAGATTTATGGATGGCTTTTTGTCTGTGGCTGTAAAAAGAGGGAGTGTAACCAAATGTTTTGAGCAACTAATCTGGCTATGACTTAATTACTAGAGAGTTAAAAGATAAAGAGTTTCTGCATTGGAAGAGCTTCAGTCTAATCACTGCTGCTAAACTGAGTCTGTATTACAGTTGCTTTTAGAGCCTCCACTGACCCACTCTTCCTTGTGAGATGTTGAATATTACACCTCTAATTCCAAGTGTTTGGGCTCATTTCTGACTGCTCTACAGGCCATGCTCGTGTAACAGATCAGTGCTGAGTACATCGACACTGCTGGTTATAGCTGTGCTCTGAGGGTATGCACCCAGACTGTTAGGACTCTGTTAGCATTTGCAGGGCCACATGTGGTGAATCCTTTGTGATTTAGACATCTGCGTGAGCTGTAACTGAAACAGATATATCTAAGCGTGGAGTTTTACAGTAGGGGGGATTAATTTATGGAGAACTGAGTGGTGCTATTTCAAATTATTTCTGTATTTCAAATTAAATGCAGCTGGTGTAGTTCAAATCTGATATGAAAGTTAGACCCAAGCTGGATCATAGTCATGAATGTGGATAGATGTATCCTTTGAATGAGTTGATTAAAATTTTGTATATGATATGGGAGGAGTCTTTAAATTGATCACAAATCACCTACTAAAGAAAAAGTACATCTTCTTTAAAAGAAAATGTAATTTGTAATTCACAATTGAACAAGTCATGCCATGAAAATGTATTGTGATGGTAAAATTGTGGGATTGAATTTTCAGCTATTGCAATTTAGTAAAGAATCGAGATGGCATGTCTGTTTTAAATTTTTACATACTCTGGTCTTGTAAATTCTTATACAGAAGTTCAACCTTTACCTGTGGTAATTGCCTAAGAATAATGGGAAGTATCTGAAAATATTTGTGAGGTCAGGAACGTAGCCTCATTTTTTTTTCCTGTGCAGTAGAGATACTCTTTTATAGTTTTTTTTCCCATCTCCTTTCACAAAAGATGCCCAAACATGACTGAGATGTCTTGATGCTTTCTAAAGACTGTTCTAACACATAGTTATGTATGTAGATACCCATTTAGGTCATAATCATAACCCTTCAGGTCAAAATTAGAACTTCTTTTTATGTAACTAATTTTGCCAACCTGAGTATCCCTGGTGATGTTCATATTCTACGTATATGCTTAAAATTAAAAAAAGAGCTGAATAACAGTTTTTATTCTCAAAAGCTTGTGTACATTTTCCGCATATGCAGTCGGTCAAATAAAATATATTACTTTAAAAATCTTAGCTTGCTTAACTTTTAAGTATGCTGATTTTTGCAGGAACTAGGCATACAGGGAAGGAAGAAATTTTTTTATGATGAGGATAGTGAAACCCTGGCACAGGCTTTGGGCAACCATGAGCTAAATGCCTCATCCCTGGAAACAGTGAAGGTCAGGTTGGATGGGGCTCTAAGCAGCCTGATCTACTAGAAGATGTCCCTGCCCATGGCAGGTGGGTTGGACTAGATCACCTTTAAAGGTCCCTTCCAACTAAACTGTTCTGTGATTCCGTGACACAGGGAATGTCTATGACAGGTAGATAGATATTTGGGGTCTAATTCTTTCCATGCTCTGAGCTGGAGTGAAGAGAGCAAGGCGTGAGCTGGAAGCTGTTTAGATTTGCACATAGTGGTGTTCATGCTGTAGATTTTGCTTTTTTAACCATCATTTTATCCTAGTTACAGGAGATGCTCTATAACATAACTATGATTTTCAGATCAGTATGTGCTGCCCATCTGCACGGCTGGCACATAACTGTCTGCTGGAGACCATGTTGACATGCCCCCAAAGTGCTGTTTAAATAAAGGTCTTCCATCCCAAAATGTTGTATCCATTGTAATTCCTTGTCTTTGTCTCAGCAAAACTGCCAATGAATGCGATTGTGCCTGTGCAAATGTAATAAAATAGTAAAATTTTACAGCTTGCATCTGTTCACTTCAAACAGAGTGACATCTGAACATGCTCTAGTGTTAAAATGCAAACCTGGCTGCATGTGTTGATTTGATTTTTTGTGCATGTGTGTTTTTTTTTCTTTTTTTGCCAAAAGCACTTATGTGGTAGGGATTTTTCAGCCTTCTAGTGACTGAACCTGGAAAATATATATATTATGAATATGCATTTGATCTGAAAACTATACCAACTGCACTGGCTAGAAAGGTAACACTCCTTAGGGCAGTGTAGTCTGGAAGGTCTGTGCAGCAGAGATCCTGAAACGGTGAGAGGTGGAAAGTGGAATCAGAAGTGCAGATGAGAAAAAAGGTGCTTGTAATGTTGGGTTTCATCTTTTGCAAAGTATCACAAAACCTTTGCCCAAGTTTTCTTTTTTTCTTTTTTTTTTTTTTTTTCTTTCCCTGTTGGCTTTAAAGAGAGGTTTACTTCCCAATTTTCCTCATTATTTTCCTAATTTTCTTTCTGGGACTCATCAGAGGCTGTTTAAGGCAGTTTGCCTTAAAGCTGTTTTCCTTAGCTTCAGCAAGCTTCATATCCGCTTTACTCTGAACGCTTATTTTTAAAAGTTTATTGTCCTACTGAGCTCCTAATAATGGAGAAGTAAATTGCTTTAATAGCAGTATTGTTAGAGGGAGACCATTTATTGCTATAATGAAGCTAAAATGTACTAGAAGAACTTAAGCATATTATTTTTTCCATTGTTGTTTATGGAGTCTTGGTTTGCACAGCACTCAAATCTAGCCACTGAACTTTAGCTACAGTTCAGCAAATTCTGTAAGGCAATAGTTAACTTATGGCAGTGCCCTTTTTTGTCAAGAGAATGACAGAAGTTCATTTAGAAACAAAAAAGCGCAAGTGTTTAAAAGTTTGTTAACTGTCATCAGAGATCTCAGTACCCTTTTCTATGCCATTTCTTCTGTGTTTTGGCTTATTATATTTAATACATAAATATGGTATTTTAATATTTACTCCAAGTGTTAGCTCTCATGAGCATTTTTCCTGAAAGTAAATTTGGAAAATGACGGATGATGTGAAACACTTTTTGTCTCTCTTTCATCTGTTTTTTGTGATGTCATATTAGAAGTCTTCATGAAGAAATTTGATTTCCCAAGAACCACCCTGTACATTCAACACTTTTGAGGGGTACTCATTTCCTGTCACAGCTGATTTCACTCTATTTGCAGATTTATCCTCATATAACAACAGAGTGAACAGTTGAGACATTCATACATAAAGTCTGCCATAAACACTGGAGGGGACAAGTTAAAATTATAAATAGCTGAAAACAGCTGCTTAGAAAAACAAAATATTAAAGTACATGAACAAAGAAACAAAATACTGAAGACTGTTACATCACTCAGTAGTTTGCTGACAAATCTTCACCTATGCTCTGCTGCTGTGCTCACATTTCAAAAAGTGTAAAACAGAAGAAGAGTTAATGCATGGAATAAAGCAAGAATTAGTGGATGTCTTGAAAGGTGTTGAGATTTTAAGATGAAGAGAGACTGAAAAAGGAAATCAAATGTGGAGGTTTATAGGAAGACTGTGGAGGTTCTGAGTAATTATTTCATGGTCATCTAGAGCTGTGCTGTCAAATCTACAGAGCAATCCCATCTCAACCAGCAGGTTTCAGCTAAGGAATAGAAATGGCGTATTAAGGGGCATTCGGAGGGAAAAGAATTGATCCACCTGAGACAGACGGGAATCATAGTTCTCCAGGCAGCACTCCACTGACTCCAGCCATGGGTCTTCCTCTACGGTATTAGTTTCCTAACAGCATGTTAGCATTGACTGCACAGAATGCAAAGCAAAGATATATACTTTTTCAAGGCTTTAAAGAGCGTTGTCAAGATACACAACCACATGAGTAAATATAAAGAAATATCTGCTACTCATCCGCAATCCACAAAATAATTTAAAATAAAATCAGCGCAAGCAAAGGTCTCCCCACAGAATGAACCTGGAGGCCCTGTTTGGAGTCTAACCCGAATCTCAGTGCATTTGAGATGGTTCATTCAGTGTTGCACTGAAAATCTTAGGTCCCCTTTTTGCATGGACCTTTCATATACCTCT